ACCTCTCCTTTTCTAAAGGAGGAGGGGCATTTCAAAGTAAGCATCAGGCACCCGTTGTTAGCGCTAAAGGGAAAATCTTTCCCCTGGATACACGGGGCAGGTCTGAGATAAGCAGCTAGAGTGATAAGTTATCTCTGTGCAATTCGGGAAATATAGATGCTTCAGATGCTAATGGTGTGTCAGCAGGGAAACAGGCGCACAGCAGACTTGGGTTAAGTAATCCTAGGAAGGTGTTTATTCATGTATAACGTGTGCAGAGAAGGTGACCCCCTGCCTTGCTCCTGGCTGCCCAGAGGAACAGCTTATGCCCAAAAAGTAAGCCCAGAGAAGTCAAGCGGAAAGGCAGCACCGGGCAGGGAGTGATCCTGGGCTTGACAGCCCCTGTCCACAGGGGCACGAAGGAGTCCTGGCATGTCCACTGCACAGGGCTGGATGGGCTGCAGCTGCCACGTTCCTGCAGACATTTGTCCAACCAATTTTCAAATCCTCCCACTGCCACTCCAGGCAATCTATTCTCATGCTTCCCATCTTTCTATTAGAAAGCTGTTCTTAATGTCTCATCTAAATCGTAAGTCAGTTTTAAAAATGACAAGCACGGCTAAAAGTTTCAAGATTTTTCCCAATAATAAATGTGGGTTTCATTTTATTTCTCTGTTGGTCGCTGTACATTTAGGGAAACGTCAAATTACTTTTTAAAGTGTCCCTCCAGAATCGTGATGTATAGAAACAGTATTTTTTACTTCTCACAAGAGCTGAGGTTGTCATTTAATTACATAAATCCAGGAGCAGGAGAATTCAGGAAAAAAAAAGTTGCACCAAACTCCTGTGAGAGAAGCCAGCACTTAATTCAGCTGTGAACGGTTTTCTTGGTTGATCTGCGTGCCTCAAATCTACACTGCCCAAAAACACTCTGATGTGACACAATGTCAAGTAGAAGGGACATCTCACCTGCAAGTAACAGAAAAGAAATATCGCAGGTGTGGGAGAGATGCATTCTAATGTATATGCACGCTATTCCTTTGCTTACTTGCCATCCAAGCTCATTCTAATTATCCCGATCCACTGAGCATTTCCACTAGGCATCTTGCAAGAGCCCACCAAAATAAAGTTAATGGCAGTGGAAAGAGTTCCTTCCTCCCTTATCAGAGATGAACCTGCAGAAAACAGCAACTTTTCTCCAGTGCTACAACCCAGAAGGAACCGCACTGACGCTCTGCTCTGAGCCTTTCAAAAGAGCAGAACGTGGTTACTCACCGGCCCCAACACAAACACTGAAACACAATGAAAACACAAATAGGAGCTCTGATCTTTTAGGTAAACAGAAACAGATACGAAGGAAAAGTATACTGCCTCAGATTTCTAGATACATACGGCTCGGCACAGAGCAGTCTCTGGAGGGACCGCATGCAAAATGTAGATCCTCAAA